CAGGAATGTCTTTGTCCTAATAAACTTTGATGCCAGACAGTTACTCATACTTTAGTAGTGTTATTGCTCCCTCTTGTGGTTCGTGCAACTCTGGAAGGTTTTTTTTAAACCTGACGTTTTTTGTATCAAAACAGTTTACCATTCTAGCAAAGTGTAAATATGAACAATACACACAAGCCCCAGACTTCTGTAAAAGTTCTCTGACAAAATTTATCTTCTTTTTAATATATTTTTTTTTGTGAGCTACATAAAAAACAATAGTCACCATTTTCAGACTGAAAATCCTATTAAAATGAGGACTCACTGAGGCAGAGTTGAGCTGCCAAACAGTTTCTGATTTAATTCTACACAAAAGTAGAGCGGTGCCTGTGTGACATTTGTTGAACATTGACATTTATCAAAGAAATCCATATGTAATGTATTTCTGTTGTAGAAGTGTGATCATAGATTTTATTTTTTTAAAAGGTTTAAATCCCTTTAAATTAGTTTGTGGACTATTTTTTATATGTAGTTTTCAGCACAACAGTGAACTGAGTCTGTAGTGTATTTGAAATTTGCAGAACAGTTTAGGAGATCTAAGCATTCTTTCACTGAATTGAATTCTGTTTCAGTGAGTTCATCTAGACTTTTTTGTATAGATGTCTTTTCCAGTTGTATTTGTTACTTGCATTGTGCAAATATCTTACGTGTTTAAGTGTCCGGCAGTGTTGGACTCTTTCTTCCCATGTACAATACTCAAAACAATGACTTCTAATTTTAATGGGGCCCCTGGATAGTACTTTCTGGGTAGCATTTAACTGAGGCTACATGTGCTATTTGATTTGAAGCCTGAAGTAATTAGAAATAAAGGCTGAGATTGTAATGAGCATTGTACACAGCAAAACCTGAGAATTCCTTCAAGATCATCTACCTAAAATACTGGTTATTGAATCCCTTTAGATAGTTACTGCCTTTGGCTGTGTTGTTAGAGTGCGAGGGTACTTCAGAAACTGGGGAAAGCATTTTTTTGCTAAGGATTTTTTTTTTTAATTCACAACAGTATTAGTGACTGCTTTCAAAACAACCATGAAAAATTTTCCAAATTACTTACTGAAGGGTATCATTATTTTAACATGACATCAGTTTCCCTATAGCTCTTTGGTAATTAGTAAGTAGTTAGATTTCCTTTCCATACTTGCCAAAGTCCTGAGTAAGAGCAGATGTTGTCTCAGTGGCAAATAACCTCACACCATGAACTTTCTGAGCTGACATACTTAAAATACTGACTCTCTTGAGCTGTTTTGCCATATGCTTTTGGAAGTTTTCACATTTTGGTTTACCTCTCTAGGAAACCTTCTCATCCTCAGCTTGAAGCTTTCATTAAACACATGTCCAAAGGGTCTGCAGCCCAAATGGATGGTTCCCTAAGCAGCCTGCCTCGTTACCCTAGTCATTCGTTGTGCGAAATGGGAGAGCTTACGCAGACAGGTGAGTTTCCACAACAGCTTTATCTTTTCTTCTGCTCTGTTAAATTCAATCTACATGAAAAGGGATCTTCTATTTTTCTTTACATTGAAATAAATGCTTCTTTATGGGAAGCTTATGGTCGTAGTCTAGATTATGCTGGGATACTGTAAAAGTGGTAACAGTTCTAGAAACCACACTTGCCAGTTCTGTGACAGATTGATCAGGCTGGGCATCGCTTTTAACTTTATTTGTAACAAGTCAGAGCTCCTCTCCTTGGTGTTGCTCCACACCACAAAATTGCTTTGTCACCCTTGTGAAAAATGGCATTGCTCAGTCCCTCCTGGGGAAGATCTAGCACTCTGTTACTGATTGATTCGTAATGCAGAGAGGCTCTGGAACTGCAGAACAACCACTTAGTTGCCACTTACAACCTGTGATGTAACCACTGTGTCCCCTGCAAGAGATTCAGATGCACCACACACATTTAATTCTTGTGTTATGGAAATTGAAAAAATTTTAAACATCTGGTGCTTTCTTCCTCTGGTGCTGTGGGGTTTTTTCCCTCTCCCCCTAAGCTTTGTAACGCAGCATGTTTTATGGTATATTTACTTATGTGTATTTTCACCACAGGAGAATGAAGCTGATTTTCTTATTCCATCTTTCAGTTCTGCTGAGCTAGTTATTGGGAGAAAATGTGAAAATATCAGCAATTAAATTACAAACAACTTCTTTAATAAAATGAAGTTTTGAGTCTTCATCAATACTACCATTGCGAGAAAGGCTATTGAACTCTGCTAGTGAACATGTTCTTTAGTTTATACCAAAAAGGTAGGGGAGATGGGAGGTAACTGGAATTGTTGCAGTCAGGGATTTGACTATGTAGAAGAAGGTATGTGGAAAGCTGAGAGTATTGTGGTGCTGGGGGTGTTAGGAACATTGGAAATAGACAAAGGATTTGGGACTGGAGAGGGAAAGTGGAGGTAGTGCTGGATCAGAGCAGCCATAAAAGCGCCATTGGAGAGGATCTGGGACGGCTGTAAGCAGGCGCTAGAAAATATGAGGGGAACAAAAGGTAATAAGACAGAAGTATAGAAAGAAGTTGCCACTTTGTAAGAAACAGATTTTCACAGATTCCATAGCTCTTGGAATTGTTTGTGTCCTCCATCCAGAACCCAGCTGAACTGGTATGAACTGAAGTCTGTGTGTTTGTTTATTTGCACTTATTTTGCTGCATGTATTCATATCAGTGTGTCAAAAATGAAAATACAGAAGCGCTTTCCCACAAACATATGGAAACAGACTGTTGCACAACTGGGTAGAAATGTAATTGTGAAAAGGGTTAGCCACATGTGGATTTTTCTCTTCAACATTCATTAATTTAATTTAAAAATTCACGTTAATAATAGTTTTCTGTTCTCATGTGACTTTTCAAATTTTAACATTAATCCATTCCATTTCTGTCTCACACCTTGCTTTTAACTGTGTTGCTCTTTTTATCTTAAATACCAATGACTGAACGAGTATATCACAGTGGATCTGGGTAGTCAGATGGTTTGGAGACTCACTAGAGAGAATGAAAATAGTGTTGAAGATTTGGGGAGTTTTTTTTCCTTTTGACAGCTGTCTTTCCAGGAATCTTCTGTATTTTTTTAGTCCAAAAATTGCCTGTCAAATCCTTGTATCTTCCATGATCCCATCAGAAGAAGTATTTGTGCTGGGCCAGTGTCAAGTCTTGCAAAGTGACCTTGGGAGAAATCTAATCAGGTTACTAAGGAACTCTTCCTAATGCAGCATGTTGCGTGTAAAACTGGATTCATCCTTGCACACAGCTTGTAACCGAGTTACTGTACGGGACTCCTATTGCCTGTAGCAAGTTACATAGATGTTCTAGTGCATAAAGGGTTCATGCCTGTTGCTTTGGTGTGGGAGGATAACGCAAGCGAGGTGGAAGCTGGTGTAAAGGCTTTGGCGTGTGAGAAGGATACACACCCTCTTCCTTTCCAGCTGGGCAGAGGCAGAGCATTAGTGTAAGAATTATCAAGCATTTTGACTACTTCCTGGAAGGAAGATGGAGAAGGAAGTTTGATGCGATTGCCATACCTCAGAGTTTACACACTGGTTTACATTCTGTGTATTTATTTCCTGACTGCTGGTACTTTACTGCCTGCCATAAGTGTGCAGTGAGCACAGCATTCACTGCCTGTCTGAAAACATGACTCAGGTGCAGTCTGGATCCATCTCCATAACTATCTCACTTTTATAATCACGTTAGACACATTCAGTCTGTCTCTCTAGCCCAAACCACTAAGGCTTTTAATAAATTTTATGGAACCAGATTTTTCTATCTACGTCTCAGTTTAGCTCCTAGAATCTCAGAGATACTGAAGAATAGCAAGTATCTCATATTTTGTGCAATTTTCCTAATAGGTAAGTATAGGTGAAGTCAGTTTTGAATTTCACAACCTTTTCACTAATTGTGCATTTATCAGTAAGACTCCTAGCTGTGTATTTTATTTTTTCTTCAAAGCTAAGAAGATTCTAATCATGTGTTGTAACTTCTTTAAAAAAATCTCTTCCAGGGGTTGTACAACACTTGCGAAATGGACAACTATTACGAGACATTTATATAAACAAACATAAACTGCTTCCTAGTGACTGGACAGCAAAACAGCTCTATTTGGAGACAACAGGAAAAAGTCGAACCCTGCAGAGTGCATTGGCACTGCTCTACGCTTTTTTGCCAGATTTTGACTGGAAGAAAATTACCATGAGGCATCAGTGGAGCACCATTTTTTGCTCTGGAAGCTGCGACTGTCCTATGCGAAACCACTACCTAGAAGAGGAACAGCGCAGACAGTACAGTTTACGGGTGAAAAACAATGATTTGGAGAAAATATATGTGGATATGGCAAAGATTGTAGGCATTCCCACCAGGCAGTTGAGAGCTTCTAACCCAATAGATTCTCTCTTGTGCTATTTTTGCCACAATGTCAGTTTTCCATGTACCAAATCTGGCTGTATTGGTATGGAACACTTCAAAGTAATCAAAAGACACCAGTTGGAGGATGAGAGAGAAAGACAGGAAAAGAAACTTTATTTCTTGTATGCACTGTTGGCTACTCATCCTGTCCTCAACCAGACTGTTAATCGGCTGCAGCGTGTTGCAGAAGGCAAGAAAGAAGAAGTATTTGTTCTTTACTCTGCACATGATGTCACGTTGTCACCTGTTCTTAGTGCCTTGGGCATTACAGAGGCCAGATTTCCAAGATTTGCTGCCAGATTAGTTTTTGAGCTGTGGCAGGATGGGAAGAGACCCAAAGAACACTTTATCCGCATCCTGTATAATGGCGCTGATGTCACATTCCACACCTCATTTTGCAAGGATTATTATAAACGTTCCAGCAAGCCAATGTGCCCACTAGAAAAATTTGTTACCTTTGTCAAGAGGGATATGTTCTTAGTTTTTAACAGCACTAGTTATTATGATGCATGTCGTAGAAGACCACTGTAGGGAAGGAAAGTGAAAAGGAAGCACTTGCATATCAGTGAAAGTCTGTATTCTGGTTGAGGCACAGTTCAGTTTTGTTATTTCTTGTACTTCTATGTATAAGTACAAAAGGATATTGCTTGAAACAGTCTTCAAACAGTTTTATTTTCATTCAGACTGCAGATGGCCTCCAACAGAAGAACGGATACTGAGCGTGTGTTATGTATATGTGTATGCCCACATATGCTGTGTTAACTGTAATGAAATGATAGATCACACAGGCTACTGTAACCTGGACATTGCTTGATTAAGAGTGGGAGAGCATAGACTTTGTTTCTCTGTATTCCAGAGCAATACTTGCATAACATCAGTTTGAAACCAAAACAATTTTGTCACCACCATCTCGATCATTTCAAGCAGTTTGTGTCAAGGTATTTATGCATTACAGGCAGCTGCATTAAACCATTTGTAAGGAATTCTTGAAACTCCCTGTTCAAAAAGAAGCATTTTAATATTTAGTGCTAGGTGTTTGTAAAGCAAAGTGCATGTGTGTATATGTGCATACTCACCTGAGCAAGTACACATGAGCATGTGCCTTCTTGACCTCACAGACCTATAAATACTTGGCTGTTGCCAGTTCTAGGGAAGGGTGTACTGGAAAATGGATACAAAACTCTATTCTTTGATTGCACTTTCAGCACTTTGAATAGTTCAAACACAATCTAGGAATATGTAAAGGTCTTGTGACATTAAAATAGATAGCAAACATTAACATTACCACTAAACCTGAGTGGGAAATTAGGATTAGAAATCAGTTTTATGGTGAAGTGTTTGACTCTTCCCACTGTGTTCAAGATGCTGTGCTATGGAAAAAATCAGTGTTTTAGGAATTTGATACAGTGATTGCCTGAGACAGCTTGACTAAACACTAAGAAAATTTTGTAGTTGAGTTAATATTTTTATGGACTAGGAAACTCTTATTTTGTAAGATCAAACTTGTACATACTGTACTGTGTATATTTATAACACAGTAGATCTTTCTTACTTGTTTAGGTTGTAAAGACTTGTGAAGCTCACTTTTAGACATTTTTTTCCCCCTTGATCAGGATGTTTGGACTTGAGCAAACTGTCTTTTATGGGTAACTTGAACAATGAGTAGATATGAAAACTTGTACTTCAGACTGCTTTCATCTCTTTAGGAGTAGTAAATTGAGAAGCAATTTTTAATAGAACTCAAAGAAATTTTATAATGGTGGAGGTTTTTTTACACCTCTAGAAATAATTTAGTCTGTGACCTGTGATTCAATGGTGCTAGTTGATCAAAGAAAACACAACTCAGCGTAAATTCTCTGACTATTGGCATTCCACTCTTTCTGTTTTCAATGCTGCATTTGAACATATTTCTTTAAATAAAATTTTAGTGACTCTTGGTACACTTGCGTGTTACGTTTAGTCTGACTGATTTAGCTGTGTGTATTGTTAAGCATTATAAGAACGTTGCATTAGTAGCTTCTGCACTTAATGTGTTCTGGTTCCCAGTCTGAGAAGGAGCAGGTAAACATTTCGTGAATAGTGAATCATGATAGAAAATTTGGGGCTTTTGTACCATGTTAGAATGTGTAACTTCTGGATATGTTTTCTTTCTGTCTGTTAGTCATCATACATGTTTGTGTGATAGAGAGCAAACAGGAAGAGAGAATCTGAAAGTTGAGCTTGCTTTGTATAAATTGTATGAACTAGACCATTTGTCCAATCTAAGTACCAAATACTCCAAAGAGCTGTTAAGCTGTCAGCAAAAGGCAGCTATAGCTCTTCAGAGTGTTATCTGTTGGAGCTTTGACGCTGTTCAGTGACCGTTCGCAGGAATGACGCTGAAGTGCAGAAAACATTACCGTTGGGCATATCACTGGTGTTTCAAGTGTATTATTTTGAAACTTTGAACCCTTAACAGCTTCTGCAAATGCCAGTCTTGGTGTCTTCAACAGCCTGTGCTATGAATAGCATCTAACCTTGCATCTTCTGAAGACAGACCACAGAAGTGTTTTGTTTTGACTTCCTTGCGCAGAAAGATCCCCTTTGTCTGTTGTAGGGGTTTTGAGATGCAGCCATGAATTGGAGGAGATGTGAATTTAGATGGATTTTTCATTTGTTGAGCTCAAAGAAGCATTGAGATCCCAGATATTAATGGATATTGCAGCTGTTTTCCAAATGTCTAGCTTGATTTTTTTGTAGAGCAGCAAAAATGCACTGATTTTGTGAACCTTTGGTTGCTGATCAACTAATAAGCATTCTGCTTGAAGTCTAAAGGAGATCTTGGGGTTTATCCCCCAGGGTAAATCTGTTAAGTTGGGTGCCGGGAAATGCGTTCATCTGTATAGTCATACATTGAGAAGAAAGTGATACAGATGCAGAAAGATTAGATTCTGTTAGTAGCTGCAGTTCCTCAGATTGCCCCAGATGTCAAATGTTTATCCTTTCTGAATGTCTAACCTCAATCAACGCTGCTGTGTTGAAGGTTGTCCCTAATAATGGTGGTAATGGTGAAGTATTGCTATCCTCTAGCCAGAGTTCTCTTTATGCTTCCCATAGGGGAATGGGTATTTCATTCCTCATTTCTCTTCTCTCTTTCTCAGCCTTTGCTTCACCATTACCTGTAAACTTCTGTTTTGTTTAAGGAGGATGGAAAAGGGGGTGTAGGAATACTTCGTGCTCTTTCCCGCATTGTTCATGCCAAGCACTCCCCCTGCTCTCACTCTTTACTGCAGTCTCTGAATAAAGGAATGCTGCTTAACATAATGTTTATAAGAAAGTCAGCATGCTGCTGAGTGACTTGCAAAGAACAAACAAGTATACACTATATAAATAGAGGAGCACAGACTGAACGTAACCCTTTTTCATAGAGAATGTGTAAGAAGAATGTGTTTCCTCCTTGAAACCATGCTAAGGCACACGGATAAGGAGGTGATTGGGGACAGTCAGCGTGGCTTCACCATGGGCAAATCGTGCCTGATGAACTTGGTAGCCTTCTATGATGGGGTTACAACGTTGGTGGACAAAGGACGGGCAACTGACATCGTCTGTCTGGACTGCTGCAAGACATTTGACGCTGTCCCACATGATGTCCTTGTCTCTAATTGGAAGGACATGGAGTTGACAGGTGGACCACTCGTTGGATAAGGAACTGGCTCGATGGATGCACACAAAGAGTTGCAGTCAATGGCTTGATGTCCAGGTGAAGACCAGTGACGAGTGGTGTGCCTCAGGGGTCGGTACTGGGGCCGGTGCTGTTTAATATCTTTGTCGGC